TACCAGTTCAATGAGGAGGCTAGTCTAGGGTGTATGACACCCCATAGTGTAAGAAATAGGGGAAACTGTGTTCTATAAGTAAGTTGGGTGTGCCTTGGCTAGGTAATCCCCTCACAAGTATTTAGGCTAGGGAAGTTATGAAATATAGACTATCCCATTGAGTTATAGCCCATGATTTCATGTCAGAGGAATAAGGAAGATATAAAGGAGATGTGATCATGCATATAGTGAGTAAGGGCACTTGTTGTCTATATTGTGTCCCTAATGATGATATCACGAGTTGAGTCTTAATTTCTTCTAATGTATTTGTCAATGATTTGTGTGACCAACTTTCTTTATATAAAAAGTGCTAAAAAGCATTGTTTCTTAAGTAAATGCTATTATGTGAGTGGAATTATGAATATCTATTTTTAAATGTTTTACATAGGCTAAAGTATTGACATTAACTACTATTTATATTTAAACTAATTGATATGCATTAGTATGGGTAAGTTGGACCTTGGTTACTGAGTAGTTGTACTCACCCCATTATCTTTAATATTATAGAGAATAGTTCAAAAGGTGTGGACAGAGGAAACACCTAGAAGCTTAGGACCATGATCGTTTTATAGTAGGCCTCTTTATTTTGAGTAATGATATGTGTATTACAATTTCAATTGTTAATTAGGAATTCTCATTTGTTCCTTATTTGCATTATGTGAATTGTAAATTGTAAGTGTATTTTGGGCCCTAGGGAGTAAGTTGATGAATATGTGTTATTGTAATAGGGCCAAAAATATTAATACAAGTAAGAGTAGAGCATATTATGAGATGATTTGGAGAACTTGATGAAAATTAAGGTAAACTCCCCCTTTTTATGTTTTTTGATTTTAAGGGGTTGAGTAGTGAAAATTTAATTTGAGAGTATTTCATGTGATATGGTACATTGCACAACTTAGTCTTAATGATTTCAATGTGGTCAAATTGGTGTCGATGGCTATTAGTTTATGGTATTTGGTTTGGACACTTGATTTTACAAAAATTACTGTAAAAGTATAAGTTTTGAAAAGGGTGTCCAATTTGTTTAGAAAGAATTTGGATCTAAGACTAATGCCATTAATTAGATCTTGAAAAGATCTTTTTGTGGATACCTAGTTCGCATCATTCAGAGGTCGGACAGAGATTTAGGGTGCGTCAGAAGTTGGCCCTAATGCTATCAAATTGACAGCAGAATTTACTGTCAAAATTCATGCAATTGCCCTATAAGTCATGGTGCTTGTCACAAAGGCAAACATATCACGGTGCATGTTCAACGAGCCGCGGCGCACGCCTCAAAATTTTTCAGAAATTCTCTTGTTTTAAATTCTTAAACAATGCAGTCACATAAGTAATGGTCCTATACTTTCGCATTTTTGTGAACTCTGATTTGTCTAGTTACAAGACTTGAAAATATTTTAGTTTTCTAAACTTAGGGTTCCCATTTTGCTAACCATTAAAAACTTTATATTTTGATAATTACTATAATCTCATTCCCTAATTACTTGAAATTTGGTTTTGATTATGAGATATTTAGGAGGAGGATATTACATGACACGTCCTCCTTTCCTAGTTATGGATTGAGCTATGTTAGGCCAAGTAAGTCTTTTAACTTAGTTTCTCCCTTTGGGCTATTGTTTCAACTTTAGGCCCAAACAATGCCCCTTATGTGAGTGGCCAATTATCATAGGCCACATAGCACATTTGAATGAGAATGGAGGCATCATTTTTTCCCTCGAGCCTCTTAGGACTGTAAACTTCCTTGTTCACGTCAATCATTTTTTTTAATACTTTGTGCTTTCAAACTTCCCTGCCCTTCAAGCATCTTTGCTCTCTTTTCTTTGCATTTTCCTTTGTACATATCTCTTAGCAATAACCTATCCTATTGTTTCTGCCCAGAATGCCCAAGCCATTGCCCCTATCAATTTTCCTAAAGATTTGGTTACTATTTATATCCTACTTAGACCTCCTCAAGATGTTGATTTGGTACGCATTGATTTTTCTATTTCCTTTGTCTTACCTCTAGGTCATTTCTATTTTAAACATTCTAAGGCTGTCCATTCCCTTATTTTATTTGCCTTCCATCATATTTCTTGATTTTTCATTTGTTACTATCTCTGCCATATTGATAGTAGCAAATGATGGGAACAAGTCTTCATCTACTATCATGAATTCTTCCTTCCCTAAAAACTTTAGCATACCTTTATTAATTTGGTCCTGCAGAACATTCTTGAAAGCCCAACATATGTTAGTATTGTGGCTTTATGGATGGTGATACTTACAATATTCTTTCCCTTTACATCCTCTCTTGATGGAATCTTATAATTTGCAGGCAAGTAGATAAACTTCTCTTTTAGCAAGAAATTAAAGATCTCTTCAGTTTTGGAGGTATCAAATGTGTACTGTATTGCATTTGTCCTCTTAGGAGCTTTAGCGGCCTTCCTTATCAAGGTTGGACATGTGTAATCTCCTACATTTTTTAGTTTTGATATGACTACATCCATACCAAAATATGTGCATATGGCCATTCGCCTTTTGTGATCATCCTGTTTTAGTAATTCCTTACATCTACATGCTTTAATTGCTAGTTCATAAAAGTCTTTGAACTTTATACCCTGAATTTTTTTCTTATTTATATATCGAGTCTTGCTTGAGCTAATTTGACAAATTTGTCTTCTAGAAGAGGCACATTGCACCTTCCCCTTAATCTCTTGAATCTCACGAGATATTGATTAGCCATCTCTCTTGCCCGCTGAGTCAGTTTGTAGAGTTCTGTGATGCTAACTTTAGGTACTGCCTTCTAAAACTACACGTGGAATTTATGTTCTATTTCAAGCCAGGTAAGTACCAAGCTATATGGTCTTGAATTCCTTGTAGCACTTCTGCTACAAGACCGTTAGATATAATCAAAAGGTTAACATGTTCGCTTCTTAATTTTGAACCAAGACTTGTGCTACTACTATTTATTGTCATTGGCACTATGTGCTCATAATGTGCACCTACCTTAGCATCGGCCAACAATGGTTCTAACCTTATAGGTGCAAAGTTTCCTTCTAGCTCATTAGATCCAGCACTTGTTTCATCAATCTTTTTATTTTTTTCTCATCCTCGGCATCTTGTTATATAGAGTCCCACCAGGCATGCCATAAATTATTCTCTATAAATAGCAAAAACTACCAGACGCTGAGTGTCAAAAGATAACAAAGGATTTTCAGGCTCCCTGACCAAAATTTACCCTTGGATTTAAAAATGCAATGAGATTGGAGTAACGAGTACTTAATTAATAAATGTGTCAAATAAAAATTGTAAAGGTTACAAAAATAAAAATGATTCTAAAAACTATCTGAAAATACATAGTGAAATGCTAAAAAGTATTAGTGAACGTCAAGGCTTAATTGTCATTGATGTCTGTTGTCCTGTTTCTGCAACTTTCTTCTCCTTTTATAATGATTTAGCTAAGACCATCACACCCACAGAATCCATAGCCTGTTCGGGAGATATCAGGGATTTACTAGCACGACCTTTAAGATTTGTGGCGTGATACATTTACCTTTCAACGGTCTCATACGTATAGTCATCTCAAGTTTTAAGGGCTACATTAAGCATGACATGTCCTCCTTTCTTGGTCATAGATCGAGCTATGTTAGGCCAAGTATGTCTTTTACCTTAGTTTCTCCTATTAGGCTATCGTTTCAACTTCAATCCTAAACAATATATAATGGTTTTTAACTGTTGTATACAAGGTACGTAAAACCAGACCGATCATTGAACCGGTCATGGCACTGGGTCACGGGTTAGTGGTTCAATTAGGGTTGAACCGGGGTTGAACCGGTGGCAAACCGGTCATGATTAAAATAATACAATTTAAATAAAAAAACATTAATTATAAAAACATTCAACCAAATACAATATTTCAAATATCTATCCTTACAATGACAACCTTTCTATCATATGATTAATATGTCCATGGTAACTAATATTGACCAACACCAAAGTCATCATTAACTTCATTCAAATCTCTAGGCATTGAGACATTAGGACTGGAATGAGAAAAACCAGAACCACTAGCAACATCAGCCAAAGATGGGGGCTCTAGAACATTCATATATTCATCACCTACAATACAACAAATAGAAATTAATACTAATGAATGGCATTTCAAAAATTCATATACTTGTATTAAACATGATAGTAAATTTAATAAACCTTCATAATCCCTCTCAAGGATTAATGGAGTAGCTATGGTTTCATTGTGAATGACACTTTCAAGATTTGCAACTTCTTGAGAATCAAACTCAGGAGCTGGCTCTTCCTCTTCTTCAGCCACCCAAAAGTCAATTTTGTCAATTGATTCATAATCAGTGGGATCATAACTTTTATTTTTCCTCAATTGACTCCTTGAAAAAAAATAAAATAATCAAATATGATAAAAAATAATAAAATTCATATTCAATTATAAATTATAAAAGCATTGCCATTTAAAACTCTAATTTTTACCTATGCTTCAATCGCAGATTATAATTTGTAAAAACTAAATCATTTAATCTTTGATGTTGTAATCTATTTCGTCTTTTGGTATGGATGCGTTCAAACAAACTCCAATTTCTTTCACAGCCAGAAGAAGAAGAAGTTTGGCTAAGAATACGCATTGCAAGAGTTTGCAATTCTGGAACAGAACCTCCATAGAATGACCACCATTCATCTGCAAATAAAAGACACTTAGTTAGATGTTAATCATATAATAACTAGAATTACCATGGACATGTTAAATAATAAATATGAATACTTACAAGGATCTAATTTCTGAGCTGCTCTTTCACATGAAGTTTTGTCAAAAGATTCCTTACGATCACTATACAAGCTCAATTGCTTCATCATTACAATATAATCAATTTCTTCACTTTCATTTGACTCAAACACATCAAGCATTGCATCCATTAACCTTCTCTTATGAACAAAATTCTCATCATACAAGAATGCAGGATTCAACAAATATGCCGCTGCATGAAAAATTATCTTAAAGTGCTTATCCCATTGAGCTTGAATAATGCTTGTGTAAGGCTTGTAATAATCTTTCTTATTGTTGAATGTTGCCTTAATTGCTTTTTTTGCCCTTTGCATGCCTTCATAAACATAAGGCAAAGAAAGCTTCTCATCTGAATCCACAATTCTCAACAACTTTATAAGAGGAGATACAACCTTCACAATTTCTAAGCAATCACCCCAAAAGCCATTATCTAATATGATGGCAGTAACAATTATTCCAGCTTGAGTCTTTGACAATTTGTGATCCACAAAGTGCTTATCAGTCACCAAAGCTTGCAATTCATGCTTATGCATATATATGCTATGCAACGTAATAAATGTAGTAGCAAATCTTGTTGCACCAGGACGTACAATTTCTTTCCAACCCGATCTTTTCCTTAGCCATGACAAGAAGATCATATGATTATAAACAAAAACAGTTATCTTTGATGCCTTAGTTGTAAGTGCTGACACATTGTCCAAGCTTGCTATATCTTTTAAAGTAAGGTTCAAACAATGAACAGTACAAGGTGACCAATAAATATTTTTATATTTTTCCTTAATCAACTTGCCACATGCTACATAATTTGTAGCATTATCAGTCACCACATGAACAATGTTCTTAGGACCAACCCACTCAATCACTTCACAGAACAACGAGAATAAAGTTCTAGCATCTTTTACCAAATCTGATGCATTAACAGATTTCACAAAAACCATTCCATGTGTAGAATAGACTAAGAAATTAATCAAAGTTTGCTGCCTCACATCTGTCCAACCATCAACCATGAGTGTACATCTAGTGTTTTTCCATTTAGCCCGATGACTCTCAATAAGTAATTGACATTCTTTTTTCCAATCTGTCAACAAATTGACTCTAAATTCATAAGCATTAGGGCTTTGAACCCTGGCCCAATAGAAGCAATAGCATCTATGGCTTTTTGAAATGAAGGGCAATCTAATGCATTAAATGGAAGGCAATTGATGATAGCCCATTCAGCAATAGCCATTTTTGCATTGTACTGTGCTTCTTTTGTTGCAAACACACTTTTAATGCCAGGTTGGGAACCAGGAGTTGTCCTAGGGGCAAAATAAATCTCAACTGAAACACTAGAAGCTTGCCTCTTATTGGCACCTCTCTCAGGGACTATCTTAATTGGAGTAGGAGCAATTGGATCATTAGTTTCAAGGTCCCCTATGTCTACTTGTTCTTGTTCTTGTTCTTTTCTATCATCAACCTTCCTTTTTCTCCCACCTTTCAAAGACTCTACCATTCTGTGATGTACATCATGAAGAACTTTTTTACAAGAAGCTACTTGACCACTTACACCAGCAAGATGTTGCTTCATTCTGTTAATCCTACCTCCTCCATAGCTTGATGCACAATAAAGGCAAGTATATATATTTTTCTTGCCTTCTTTTCTTAAGGCAACATGTGCCCAAGCAGGATCAGTTTTTCCACGCATAGATGGGGCCTCATATGTTGAATCATTACCACTAGGAGGGGGATCATTGGAATTGGAGGTAGGATTCTCATTTCTATCACTACTAGTAGGATTACTTCCAATATCCATGATCAATGCAATAATTATATTTTAACCTGCAAGCTAAAATAATGACTAAGCTTTAATTTTATTTTTTCCACACAAATGCTGATTAGTCATATTCAGTGTTGACTGCATAGTTTTTAAGTTTGGCCACAAAGAAAGAAGGAAAAAATAAGAAGCTAGATATGCCCTGTCTATAACATAGTGCAATCCGTAGTTCAAAATTAAGATAGAAAATCACAACATTTTTAAAATGCACACACAGTATGAACCTGAGCAGAGGATAAAACATGTGCCTTGAGATTACAATCTATATAATAGCAATTCACGTGCAAAGATCTCATTTTCCCAACCAACATATATAACCCCCAAATCATCAACAAGATAAACAGATCACAGAGCAGGAAAAGATCAGAAAGCATCATCCGTAATCCCTATTTAATTTTAAAGGGCTTAGACATGATCGATCTACAAAGTCATGAAGCATAGGCTTGAGCTGTCAGATTCAAAGTCCTCTCCATACTTACTTGAAATATTAAACAGAACCATAAACTGACATTATATTGTCAAACAAGATCAAACACAAAATCATTACCAGAAGAAAGCCTAGATCTGAAGCCAAGATCAAACATTATATTATCAAAGCCACAGATGATTATGAAACTAAACCAATACATACATATAGCTTCATTTCCGAAGAAACATAAAAGCACAAATCAACAGTAAAGAAACCTTAAAACCAGAAAAACACAAAACACTAGAAAGTTTCACACATACAAAATGATCTGCCGAACAAGCAAGAAACAAATCACGAGCAACAGAGTCGACCACTTAAGCTGAATCACGAAACAAAAAACAGAGTTGTGCACGATCAACAGTGACTAACCTGAAGCAAAATGCGAGCTGCATACACCGAGCTGTCACGAACTGACCGGCTGAGATTTCAGATCGATTAGGCTAAGAGATGGAAGTCGTACACTGAGCTAAAGGAGAGACCGAACAGCAGAGATAGAGAGAGAGAGAGCTGGAGAGGACGGATGGTCGGAGACAGGGAAAGGCGAGAGAGGAGGGTCGGAGAGTCGGACGTTGATTAGGGCGAGAGAGAGGACTGAGGAAAGACGGTAAGACACAGACGAAAGTCACGAAAGGGAAAGCTGGTGCTGTCTGGCATCCGTCCGCGTCTGCAATTGGAAATCTGGGCTTCATACCATAGGCTTTGGATTTGGACCGAAAGAAAATTAAAAAAAAAATCCCCCAAAACGACATCGTTTTGGGGACTTTTGTCTGAAAAATCATGACCCGGTTAACCCAGTCAACCCATCGGGTTGTCCGGGTTATACCGAGTTGACCCTGAGTTGACCGGGTTACACCGGTTCACCCCCTCACCGGTTTAGGAGTAAACCCAGACTGGATAAGGGACCGGGTCACCGGTTTCCGGGTTGACCCGACCGGTCCGATCCGGTTTTCAATACCATGGTTGTATATTCTAGTATTATATAGTCCAAAGGAAACTATATAGCAATTTTAAACCGCTATATAGTTGTAGTCTATATATAACATTTATTTATAAAAAAATATTTCATAGATGTTTCCAAATTTTGTTTCAATGAACATTTCAATCAACTATATAATAGCTTTATGAAAATAACCATTATATAGATACTAAATATATAATGGTTAATTTGAAATAACTATTATATAGGTGTGCCCAGTTTTGGTCAATTTTCTAGCTATGTTTGCTCAATAAACTATTTAGTGATTATTTTGAATTAATAGCTTTATAGTTTGGTGCTTTTATTTAAAAAAAAATGGAGGGTTGCATTTTGAGTAGCCCCTAGAAAAAAAAATATAGACATTTCCATAAATACAATTTAGCAACAGAATTCCAATTTCAACTAAAATTTTTATGCAATTGAAACCAAAATTATTTAAACCTATAATAACTTCTTAAATATATCTAAAAATACTTCAAAATTGTCAAAAAAATGCCTATACACTAAAATAATTACAAGAAAAAAATTTCCAAGTAAAACTAAAATTGGCCAAAGTATAAATAACTTATATAAATAATCAAAATTGAATAAGCTAATGGTTGTGATCATTCATGTTATTGGTCATGAATATTTTACCCATTGCTTGAATAAAACATGTGACAACTCTTCGAGGACTTCTTCAATGTTAGTTGCATTATATTCATCTATAAATACATCCTTGAAGTACTGTTAAGCCAAATATAATAACAAAAATCAAGCTTAAGTATATGATATGTGTAATATAATATAAATTATTAAAATTAATATAATAGAGATAGAAGACATACCTGGTTAGGTGGAATATATTGTCATTTGGTGCATGCACTACAAAAAAGACAGTATTTTGTAGTGGTTCTAGGGGTACTATAGTAATAGTTCAAATAGCTAAGCGAGATTTAGTAGCAATTTCTCGAACTGCTACAATAGGAAGTGTAACGGGCTAAATCATAACAGTTATACAAAGCACTACCCCTATGGTCAAAACTCTACAAACAGTGTAGTGGTTCATGAAATTGTTACCACCCAACCGAAATAAAATCACCCCCTATTTTTTGGCACGAGTTGTTGGATTGGGACGCACAGCAGATGATTGAAAAATAAATTTCAATTATGATCACGAACTGATTGAATTCATTCAAGTTAAGGTAGCAGAAAAAATACCTTTTAGACGTCATACTTTCGAGCTTCCTTCAAGTGTTTAGATCTCAATAGTTGACAACGAGATCAGTTCCCTCTACTAGTATCCATATGAACAACGTGCTAGCACTCCCAATATTTAATGTCAGTACATGCAGAAGCCTTAAAAAATCTTAACTCCTAGCCTTAGTCAGATGCTCCTTCTTTTTCTAGGGTGTTTTCTAGGCTCTCAAATTTTTTTTTTGGTCAAGAGACTCTTAAAATCTTATAAAGCATGTCCCCTTTCTATAATATATATAAATTAAGGTTTTAACTTCCTTTCAAATTTTTGAAAATAATCACAATTATTTCAAAAATCATATCTTGAGCCAGTGAAAATAAAACTTAATTTATGTTATAAATTAAATTTATGATATCATATCTTGTTTGAATTTATCTTATAAATTTAAATTATAGAACTAATATGATTTTGTCTTATATCATGTTAGTTATTAAATTTAATCTATCTTATAAAACTAAATTTAAAACTAACACAATATAATATAATATAATATAATATAATATAATATAATATATATATAGTTGTATATATATATATATATATATTTTGAATATATATATATATATATCAAATAAATATTCAAACACACACACATAAAATTCGATCACTCTAGATAAAGCATTATATTCATTGAATCTAAACACATTTTTAATTTAATAAACTTAGATATTATAGCTTGAGTTGGACTGTTCTTGTGTGTGATCTTGTAGGTCCATATGAAGTTGGCAGTAGGCTAATAACGCTACTAGCCTATAAGTCATAAATGGCCTCTAGCAAGATATTGTGACTATCCAATTTATATAAAGATCAATGATTTGATGTAACTATCATATAATTGTATCATATTTCTTTTGTCACATGATATTTTGGTCAAGTGTGAGACATGAAATTATCATTCTCCTTTACCTAACCATTACTTTCTCGATCTCAGAGTAGATTGACTATAACAATGGAAATACCCTTTCCATTATAGTATGACCATACATTTTCTCAATTTTACTCATTGAAGGTTCAGTAATATATGTCAATTAACATGGGGCATAAATTTCATCTTGATTATTCATATTCCTTTATATGAATATCACTAAACTCAATCATAACCTTTATGATCATTCAGTTAAAGGTGATTTTTGACTAGGTAAAAGTTTAGCAATCATCATGTAGGAATCCATGTTGATCTCAAGTCAAAAGACTTTGTGACATGGTTACATATGAGATAAACTTATGACTTATATCATGTAGCTTTCTCATAGCCAGTTAGTTTAGCACCTTGTACCCTTCCAAGTACCTACAATTTTAATTTATATCTCTATAATCTAATCAAAGTTATACTAATCTTGTTTCATCTATGATTCCTTATATATGACCGATCGGGGACATTTAGAACAATCAATATAGTTTATCTAATGATACAGTTATCATAGTAAACATGCAATTAATATGATAATAAAATAGAAATTTATTAAATAATAATGTTCATAATACAATGATTGGTCCTAGAGCACAATTTCC